TTAGTTAAATGTAATAAAATACTTTAATGTAATCAAATAAAATTTAGTAAAAGTCTGAACATTTAACTTGAACTTCCATCAAAATAAAACTTGTTTAATTCAACTTTGGTGAGAATACTCTTTTATTACCATTTCAAGGATTGTTTTTTCACCCAAAAAAGAAGAAAACTGAAAATTAATCAGGTTAAAGTATAACTTTAACTATAATTTTCCAACACAAATAACTCCACAGATGTTATTCCCTCTGGGGTCAGAGTTCGGCGCCTAATAAAAGAGTAGCTTATTAGCACTGATATGTGTGTAAAAAAAAAAAAAAAGAAAGAAAGAAAAAAAAGGTCTCATTAACTGGTTTGCAGCACTGCATACTTTGTTGAAACTACACTTGACCGCCAGGGGGTGGCATCAAGATGGCGGCTTTAACGGTCGTGTGTTCTTTCAGGAGCACCGAAAGAGCGCACAATTTGCTAAGTAAGTTTATTCTCCTTCCAGTTGAATATGCCCACAAGATTATTAAACATACAAAGCTGCAATTTATACCATCAAACTGTAATGCTAAGACGTCTTCACATGCTAAAGTTAGTGGTCATGGCTATGCTAGCATCGAAGCTGCTAATGTGGGCCTAAACAAACAAGAAAGCGGAGCAGACTCAGCGCCGCCAACTCCGTCCAAACAACCGCCAGAGGAGAAAAGAACAAAACTGTTATAGCTGGATATATCGACGACTTATTCAATTATATGAAATATGGCTTCGTGTGCCCCAGTGTTTCTCTTTAAACTACATGGGAACACGTTTACTGGCAGTCATTGATGAGTTTATTTTGAAAGCTCACTTACAGAACTCCCTTAAACAGCTTAGAAAAGGCAAGCACACACATTTGAAGAAATATTCACTACATTTTCCTGTTTTAAAACATTTTTAAATTAAGATGAACAAGGAAACGAGAAAAAATACAAGTCCAGCAGTTAAGAAAGATCCAGGAGATCAAAGTAAGTAAACAAATACATCAAATCTGTGTAAAATCCCCCAAATAACAGAATCTACATTTCTAAAAATGTTGACACTCTGTGTAAAAATGAATCATTTGAATCCTGTGTTTGAGTGAAAATAGCAGAAATACAACATTTAATCAAAGAAAGGTTACTGGGGCACTTTGTCTTTGGTAAAATAATGGGACAAGTTTATTGTTGGACTCAGCAGTAAAAACAGACCA